TGATTCAGATTTCATGGAGAAATCAAAAGCTTTACAGACAAGCAAAATCTAAAAGAATTTAGCACCACCAAACCAGTTTTACAACAAATGCTAAAGGAACTTCTCTAAGCTGAGGGAAAAAAAAAAAAAAGACCACAAAAAGAAAATTACAAAATGGGAAAGCTTACCAGTAAAGGCAAACATACAGTAAAGGTAGGAAATCATTCACACACAAGTATAGTATCAAAACCAGTAATCATGAGGAGAGTATAAGTGCAGAATATTTGGAATGCAGTTGAAATTAAGAGACCAGCAGCTTAAAACAATTATGTATATATATAGACTGATATATCAAAACCTCATGGTAACTGCAAACAAAAAATCTATGAGATATGCACGTGAAAAAGAAAAAGGAATCCAAACACAACACTAAAGTTAATCATCAAGTCACAAGAGAGAAGAACAAAAGAGGAAAAGAAGAAAAAAGGCCTACAAAAACAAATCCAAAACATTTAACAAAATGGCAGTAAGAACACACATGTTGGTAATTACCTTAAATGTAAATGAATTAGGACTTCTCTGGTGGCGCAGTGGTTAAGAATCCACCTGCCAATGCAGGGGACACGGGTTCGAGCCCTGATCTGGGAAGATCCCACATGCTGTTGAGCAGCTAAGCCTGTGTGCCACAACTACTCAGCCCACATGCCACAACTACTGAAGACCGTGCACCTAGAGCCCATGCTCCATAACAAGAGAAGCCACCACAATAAGAAGCCCATGCACCACAATGAAGAGTAGACTCCACTCACTGCAACTAGAGAAAGCCCACGTGCAGCAGTGAAGACCCAACACAGCCAATAAATAAATAAATACATTTATTAAAAAAATGTAAATAGATTAAATGTTTTTTGGCTCCAACCAAAAAAGACTGGCTGAATGGATATATGAACTAGACCCATATTTATGTTGTCTATAAGAGACCCATTTCAGATCTAGAGACACGTACAGACTGAAAGTGAGGGAATGGAAAAAGGTATTCCATGCAAATGGATATCAAAAGAAAGCTGATTAGCAATACTCATATCAGACAAAATAGACTTTTTAAAATAAAGACAAGAGACAACAAAGGACACTACATAATGATCAAGGGATCAATCCAAGAAGAAAATATAGCAATTGTAAATATATATACACCCAACACAGGAGCACCTCAATATATAAGGCAAGTGTTAACAGACGTAAAAGGAGAAATTGACAGTAACACAATAATAGTGGGGGACTTTAACACTCCGTTACATTAATGGACAAATCACCCAGGCAGAAAATCAATAAGGAAACACAGACCTTAAATGACACATCAGACCAGCTGGACTTAATTGTTATTTATAGAACATTCCATCCAAAAGCAGCAGAATACACTTTCTTTTCAGTGCACATGGAACATTCTCCAGGATAGATCACATGCTGGGCCACAAAGCGAGCCTTGATAAATTTAAGAAAATTGAAATCCTATGAAGCATCTTTTCTGACCACAACACTATGAGATTAGAAATCAACTACCAAAAAAAGAACTGCAAAAAACACAAATATGTGTAGGCTAAACAATATGCCACTAAACAACCCATGGATCATTGAAGAAATCAAAGAGGAAATCAAGAAATACCTAGAGACAAATGAAAACAAAAACACTATGATCCTAAACCTATGGGATGCAGCAAAAGCAGTTCTAAGAGGGAAATTTATAGCAATACAAGATTACCTCAGGAAACAAGAAAAATCTCAAATAAACAACCTAACTTTATACCTAAAGCAACTAGAGGTAGAACAAACAAAACCCCAAGTTGGTAGAAAGAAAGAAATCCTAAAGATCAGAGCAGAAATAAATGAAATAGAGATGAAGAAAACAATAGAAAAGATCAATGGAACTAAAAGCTCGTTCTTTGAAAAGATAAACAAAACTGATAAACCTTTAGCCAGACTCATCAAGAAAACAAGGGAGAGGGCTCAAATCAATAAAATTAGAAACGAAAAAGGAGAAGTTACAACCGACACCAAAGAAGTACAAAGGATCATAAGAAACTATTGTAAGCATCTATACACCAATAAAATGGAGAGCCTAGAAGAAATGGACAAATTCTTAGAAAGATACAATCTCCCAAGATTGAACCAGGAGGAAATAGAAAATATGAGCAGACCAATTAGAAGTACTGAAATTGAATATGTGATTTAACAACTCCCAACAAACAAAAGTCCAGGACCAGATGGCTTCACATGTGAATTCTACGGAACATTTAAAGAAAAGGTAACACCTATCTTTCTGGAACTATTCCAAAAAATTGCAGAGGAAGGAAAACTCCCAAACTCGTTTTGTGAGGCCACCATCACCCTGATACCAAAACCAGACAAAGGTATTACAAAAAAGAAAACTATGGAAAAGAAGAAGTAAAACTGTCACTGTTTGCAGATGACATGATACTATACATATAAAATCCTATAGATGCTACCAGAAAACTACTAGAGCTCATCAATGAATTCAGTAAAGTTGCAGGATACAAATTTAATATACGGAAATCTGTTGCATTTCTATACACTAACCATGAATGATCAGAAAGAGAAATTAAGTAAACAATCCAATACCTAGAAGAAATACCTAGGAATAAACCTACCTAAGGAGGCAAAAGACCTGTACTCCAAAAACTATAAGACACTGATGAAAGAAATTGAAGATGACACAAACAGATGAAAAGATACACCATGTTCTTGGATTGGAAGAACCAATAGTGTCAAAATCACTATACTACCCAAAGTAATCTACAGATTCAATGCAATCCCTATCAAATTACCAATAGCATTTTTCACAGAATTAGAACAAAAATTTTTACAATTTGTATGGAAACACAAAAGACCCCAAATAACCAAAGCAATTTTCAGAAAGAAAAACAGCTAGAGGAATCAGGCTCCCTGACTTCAGACTATACTACAAAGCTATAGTAATCAAGACACTATGGTACTGGCACAAAAACAGAAATATAGATCAATGGTACAGGACAGAATGCCCAGAAATAAACCCACACACCCATGGTCAATTAATCTATGACAAAGGAGGCAAGAATGTACAATGGAGAAAAGACAGCCTCTTCAATAAGTGGTGCTGGGAAAACTGGACAGCTACATGTAAAAACATGAAATTAGAACATTCTCTAACACCATACACAATAATAAACTCAAAGTGGATTAAAGACCTAAATGTAAAATTGGATACTATAAAACTCGTAGAGGAAAACATAGGCAGGACACTCTGACATAAATTGCAGCAATATCTTTTTCGAGCAGTCTCCTAGAGTAATGGAAATAACAAAATAAACAAATGGGACCTAATTAAACTTGAAAACTTTTGCACTGCATAGGAAACCATAAACAAAACAAAAGGACAACCTACAGAATGGGAGAAAATATTTGCAAACAATGAGACCAACAAGGGATTAATCTCCAAAATATACAAACAGCTCATACAGCTCAATATAAAAAACAATCAATCCAATCAAAAAATGGGCAGAAGATCTAAACAGACCTTTCTCTAAAGAAGACATACAGATGGCCAAAAGGCACACGAGTAGATGCTCAATATCACTAATTATTAGAGAAATGCAAATCAAAACTACAATGAGGTATCATCTCACACCAGTCAGAATGGCCATCATCAAATAGTCACTCTTGGAGTCTCTGAAGTGTCACATATCACTCAAGGCCAGTTCCTCTTGTCTTCCTAGCACATGATGATGCCTGCTGCCTCTGTGAGAATGAAGCTTCCTGGCTAGGCTAGTGGTTGCCTTCCTGAGCTACTGATACCACCAAATTTTGAGGTGCCAAAGAATGCTACAGTTCCTATATATCTGGTTGGCTCCTTGCAGTGGTGCCATATTCAATGAGCAAGTGGGCTGACAGCCCCTCCTTCACATTACTGTGCCACAGTAAGTCATTTGGATTCCAAAGAGCTTTGCTTGGGCTCCCAGTCTCAGCCTCTCAGAAAAGTAGTTCTTTAGTGACTTCCCATAGCCAGTCTCCTCCATCAGGGCCTCAAAGGCCAGGTTGGCGGGCCAGGCTGGGGACAGGTCTCTAACATCCCAACCTATGTCCCCTACCCTGCCTCCCAGAGACCTTGATAGTAAAAACTTTCTCCCGATGGGCTCCTTCCTATATGCAAACCACTCAAGGAAATAGTTGTGAGAGGAAGACTGGGAGAGTGAGTTTTGTTCTATAACCACCCACACAATTTCAGCTGAAGTTTGGCTCATCTGGGACCATCCCACAGAAATGAAATGATGTAAATGCATTTTTAAAACCTTAAAGTGCTCCAAGATGTTTATTATCATTATTACATATATAGTATCCATGCTACAGTGTGAGCTGCCTTCAGGAAGCTAGACTGCCATCACTATGGAGTTAAAATAATGGGAATTTCAGGGCCAATGCAGGGGCCTCAAATCACACACCACAGATGACCCTTCCCCAGCACACTTTCCTGCTAAGCCTGATCCTGCCGTTCCCTCTAAGCAACAACTCTATGTTTCTGAACACAACTCGATTCCGGCTAGAGGCTATGTTGACCTAGTAGATCAGATGCAACCAACTGGACACAGAGAAGAGTAGTAGCAGCCAGATCCTTTCAAACTGTTTGAGAATGCATTTTAAATAATGAAGGCAAACAAGATAGAATAACTGGCCTCACATCCCTCCCACAGCCCTGGGGATCCCTCTGAGGGCTCACTCCCCAGGAGTGCTCAGCTGACAGGCCTGCAATGGTCTAGGTGTGGAGGAGAACCACCTGATACTGACTTCTGAAACAGAGACAGGAACTAATGACAGAAGGTGCTTGACCGCGCGTCTCAGACTACCTGAGAGAGGTAGGACCCAGGCAGGGCATTAGCCAAAATGTTCTCCTTCAACTGTCCTCCCCAACCTCAGCCTCTGCCTTCAGCTCGGCTGGTGAACACTGGCCTAACCTAGAGGCTTACCGGTGAAAGAAAGGGAAGCTCAGCCAAGGGCCACAGGTCCAGAACTCAGTCAAGGTGGGAGTTGGCATAAAGGGACTGCTGAAAGTGGTCAGCCTCGGCCGTTCCAAGCTCTCCTTTGATGTCTAAGAGAGGTTGTCCACTCAATGTCCGTTGCACAGTGGATCTTCATGGTGGCCTGCTTGTTCTTGCCTTACAATGGCTCTCAGAGTTTTCTGGTTGGGGTGGAGGGAAGCCCTGGGCCTGGAAGCCACAAATAGAGCACAAGTGAATGAGGCCACTGCCTGGGACCAAGACTTGCCTCACTGCTGTCAGCAAAACCCACTGAGAAAGCTCTGGCCCTGGAGGAGTGAACAGATGCCCCTTGTGGAAAAGATGACCCTGCTCTCACCTTGCTTCATAATTCTCCATCATTTCTCTGAGAAGGATGCACAGAACAACCCATTCAGTGGGTTAGGTGTCATTGCTGCACACAGCTGAAACTCCTCCACTTTCCTTCCCACTTAGGGAAGCAAATTGTCCTGTAAGAGAATGGGAGCTACGTTATTTTAGGTTTAACTTTGAATCCATGCTCAGGTATTAAAATTTGGTTATTCTCCAACTTTGGTATTTATTTGCTATAAATAATTTGCAAAACAACTTCTGAAAGTGGGTTATAAGAGTGTGACTAAGAAGACTGTCCTAGAGAGTGAGTGACCTTTTGGGGGGTGAAAGGGAGAGTCATATGTGTAAAAGCTGTAAATGACAATTTCTCTCCTTTCCCTTCCTTTTCACCCTCACTCATAGTCTTTGATCTAGATCTGCCTCTCCAGAAATGTAGAAGGCCAGGAAAAGGACCAAGAGGAGTCTTTGCTTCTAACTTGAAAAATACAAATATAGGTTGCCTTTAAAAGCTAGAAATAAGGTGTTGAAGAAAACAATGAGTCCTAAGTGTGTCACTTAAGTGAGTATTATGTCATATAACTTGCCTGTATAATATTTTTAGAATCTTTGGAAAGAATGGAGAAAACTGTTAGCATCCCTTTTAAAAAGTTTCACAGGAGATTACCTGGTATCTCCCTACACTAATCATGGTGATGTTTTCACTAAGTTCTATCTAGGGAAGATGTTACCCAAAACCAAGCAGGCAGTATCCCTTTGGGAGATATTAATGTATATAAGATGGATTTTGAAACTTCAAACATCAGATAAATAATTAAATTATTCAAATGGTCTCACTATTTGGTGGCAGAATGACTCAGACTCAAATCAGAAAATAGTCAAGTAGAAAAAACCAGATGGGCTTGAAAGGAGTGATGGAAGAAATCTGGCTGTTAATCATCTCTAATTCACCTCCTACTCCTTCTGGAGCAAAAGAGAGTCTGAAGCTCTGATAGTACTGTGAATGAAAAAAAAATTCTGGAAACAAAATTAGCATGACTCAGAGCAGTCTGGAAGACCGGGCTGGCCTGGCACATTCCCGAGGCTGACCCCCTTAACAGCAGGAGAGAAAGGAATCTGCCCATGTGGCTCCTGGTGATGGAGGTGTGGGTAGAGAAAGATCAACAGACGGGAAGCCCCACAGACAAGCAGAAAGTTATCACAGACACAGGAGGGGCTAGACCTGGGAACAGATCTGGATGCCGAAAGTTTGAGGTAGAGAATGGCCTTAAGTAAAGTGGACAGCCCAGTGTTGGGGCACAGGTACCAGAGGATGAAAGATAGTTAGGAATCATGGAGTAAGCAGAGTTAGAGATATGCTGAATTTAAACACACACGCGCACACACACACACACACACCATGAGCCCTTTGAGCACACACACACACACACACACACACACACACACACCATGAGCCCTTTGAGAACAGAATCTCCCTTTCTCCCTCTTTATCCCCAGCAGCTTACAACAGTGCTGGGCAATAGCAGGTGCTCATTGAGGACTGATGGACTAATGGTCCATCAGTCTGAGCTGGCTTTTGGGGATAAGATAGGAATCAGAGGGAACAGAAGAGTTGCAGGCAGCAGCAGGTTTAGAAATCTTAGCAGCTGGTCCAGGCAGTTGAGATGCAGTTCTGGCAATAAAGAGCTCTCAGATTTGAAGCCATCTTTTAGCAAGAGGCCCTATAGCACTGTGTGGAAGAGTGCAGGGCTGGAGTCAGGATTTCTGCGCTTGTGTCTCTGCCTGTTGCTTACCAATTGAGCCTGAGGGGCCACTTATCGATTCTCTCAATGCTCATTTTCCTCACCTGTAAAATGAGAAAATAATAATAATACTTAGCACAAAGAATTGTTGTGAGGACTAAACTTATTATATATGTTAAGTGTTTAGAGCAGTGCCTGGAATATAGTAAGTACCCAATAAATATTAGTGATCATTATTGTTGATTATCCTTCTCCTCTATCTAGAAAGTTTCTTTGTGCTTTATGCCAGTGTAGAATGAGTCCCAGGACTTAAGACTACCCAGCACTCCTTTGGGAATGTAAGCTGACCTATCCTGCAAGTGTCAGTCTTTCAGTTTGCGGCTTGCATACTTTAAGACATAACCTGTTTTTGCATGGACCACTACAGTAGTTTCTCTGACTCTCTGCTTTCAGTCTCAGCCCTATCCAGCCAAAAGTGATCTTCTAAAATGTAATCAGACCATCTCATTTGCCTACCTCATATCCTTCATGAGTTCTCTTTGCCCTCAAGATTCTTTGGGTTTCATTTCCTAAAAAGTATAGGGGAGCTCCTTGGAGAAACAGCTGATTTTAGGACTAGGGCAGGAAATATATAAAAAAGAACCTGGAGCATCTTGTAGTACCAGAAAGTAAGGAGGTGCGTGAACAAATGAAAAACCCTACAGTGATGGAAGTATGTCAGAGGGACACAGGAACCAACTTAAAAGAGCTCTCAATGGCCAAAGCTGGAATAATTTGAATGACAAAATAAATAAAATAGCATTGGATTATAACTTAAAATATAAAATAAATATCCATGAATTCATACTAATGTAAGTAAATGATAGAATAAATAAATGGTGGAGAAAAGATAAATTTCCCCTGCAGAAGAATTCCAAATAAATTACGTAGCTACTTCATCCTTGAGAAGGGAGCATAACTCCTCACTCCTTAGTGTGGGCTATGCATGGTGACTTCCTTCCAAAGTGTATAGTATGATAAGAGAGAAAATGACTGACTTTATAGTGGAGAAACCTGACAAACACTATCTCATCCAGGTGATCAAGGTCAACATCAACAGTATAACTCATAAGTGATAAAGGTCATATGTTAATAGTATGTACCTTTGATATAATGTGATGAGAATGGCACTTCCTCTGGGGTCTTCCTCCCACAACAAATAACTCCAGTCTAATCATGAGAAAAACATCAAACAAACACAATAGAGGGGTATTGCAAAATACCTAACAAGGACTTCTCAAAACTGTCAAGGTCATCAAAATAAGAGTCTGATAAACCGTCACAGCCAAGAGGAGCATAAGGACACATAATAACTAAATGCTATGTGGTATCCTGAATGGGATCTTGGAACAGAAAAAGAACATTAAGTAAAAACTGAGGAAATCTGAGTAAAGTATTGACTTTAGTTAATAATAATGTTTTAATATTGGTTCATCAACTGGGACAAGTGTACCCTCCTAACGTAAGATGTTAATAATAGGGGAAACTGGGTGTGGATCTCTCTGTACAATTTTCACAAATTTTCTGTAAATCTAAAACTTTTCTAAAATTGAAAGTTCAATAAAATGAAAGAAAAATATAACAGAGAATCAAAAGACAAACTTTACCTGTTTCAGAATTCTGGTAGGCTCAGTCACCATCAGACCAAGCCCATTCCCAAATCAGCAGGAGCATCTCTGCTACACATAGGTGCAGTCAAACTCTGAGTTCTTCAGAGAGGTAGCAACAGCTGTTGTCTCACTTTATCCATGTAGAACACAGAAAGCACCCAGATTCGTTGTCCCATTGTAAACAGGCAGCAGGGCATAGAATTAATTGAGTACTTAGGCTCTGGAATGAGGCCAGCTGGCTCTGCCATGAACTGAGGCACATTCCTGATCTTCTCTGGACATGTTTCCTCATCTATAAAATAATAATAATACTTAGCACACAGAGTTATTGAGATAATATAACGAGACAATGTATAAGCATGCTTAACACAATGCCTGGCAGGTTATGATTATGGAGTATTACCATCTCATTCTTCCCAGACCTTGCCAGTAGTGTCCAGGGGGTAAACTCTACATACAGGAAAAACATGCCTGCTCTCTAGAAGTTTCTTGCTAAAACAAAAGTGGACAGATATCATGGTAGTTAGACTATACATCAGGCAGTTAATTGTCTAAGGGACTTGGCCAGAGCTAGCTGAGGAGCCCAAGCTGCAATTTATTATGGAACTGCTTTCAGAGGCTATACATTTGGAAGGGAAGCCACACAAGTGTTAAGGCCTAACATTTACCCTGAGGCAACTCACTTGGCCATCCTCTGACTGGATTGATTTCCACGGAATCAGGAAGCTCTATTTTAATGTGTTCCAGGCAGTTTTCAGCTTATACAACGATTACAATCAGATCCAAACTGGTTTGAGCAGAATTTGCCAGTAGAATGTCATGAGACTCCAGAGCCAATTCTTTATTACTTCAATAAATCTCAACATATGACAGCTACAGTTTTACCACCAACCAGTCGTGTTTTTGTAATTTTAACACAAATAGCAATTAAGTGTGTCTGGTATGATGTGTTCTCACCATTTTCAGGTCACCCCGCTGATTGAGCACAATTTCATTCTCCACACTGATGTTCACCCAGGTTCTCCTTTATGACTTGCTTGGCTCTTTGACCAGGTAGAGATGCCAGTGGAAGAGAAGTCATTGCTGGCATCACGCTCTTTCCTTTCTTTGGACCAGGAGAGCAACCCTCTGTCTTCATCCAGCTGGGCAATTTCTTGGCAGAGTGGAGAAACTCCTGAAATGCCAGATCTTGAGGCTGAGTTTCCAGCCATGGCAGGCCCCTACTTAGGCCTCTCAGAAAGGTACAGAATAGAACATCCCCCTTGGATCATCAGGAAAAGGCCAAGCCATCGTCTGGGTTGCCATGTAATTTTGTCTTCTTCTAGAATTTTGGCACGTACTAATTTCTTTATAATTAAAAATTACATGTTCAGTAGGCACACTGGTCAGTTCCTTTTAATCTGTTATCTGTCAGTCTCTATTATTATGAATCCATTGTGTCTAGCATCATGGTAGGAAACTTAGGTTATCCTCAGAAGCAGATCATTTATAATACATGTTTTGCTTTTTCTTTCAGCATTATCTTTCCTGTTTTAGGTGTCTCATAATTTTCACAATGGTTTCAACATTTTATATTTTAAGGTTTTCTGTGTTTCCTTTTATTTCTTTCACATTATGTAATTAGCTCTGTATTCATAGGGGAAGTAAAGCAATGAACCAAACAGTTGCCTGATAAATTCAGTTAAAGCACAAAAACAATTTGGGTCCTTCTTGCTAAAGGAAAGTTTCTAGTAAGAATTTACCACCCACTTCACTCTGTTATAAATAGTTGATTAATTCTATTCTCAACAACTAGGGGAAAGGTAACTAATGTTTACTGAGTACATACTATATGCCAGTCACTCTGTTAAGTGCTTTGCAGGCATCATTTTATCTGTAGTAGAGAGAGATTAGTTACAGTCATCAAAATTAGCAATTTCTTTGGTTTTCAGGCAGCTGAGTTTCACATTTCTCTGAATATACTCACAAGAATGAAACACCTGATTGATGTATTAATACATGACCTTCATAAGGGCAGTATACTCCCACTGAATCTAGCATTTTTATATATTAGACTCAGTAAGAGTTTTTGAATATATAATCTCAATGTTAAATCTTTATATCTACTCATCTCTATGTATACTGATGTAAAGAAATCTTATGAAAAAAAAAGCTAAGTTACTACTAAAAACTATTCGAAATGAATACAAGTATTTTGGTATGATTTCAGACATTTAGAGCTGTCTTTGTCCAGTATTCGGATGTCTTGATAAGAATACAAGAACTGGACCAATATTTCAGTTACTTAAAGGATTAGGTGACAGGTTAACTCACTTTCAATATTATTTTAGCTTCAGAAATCGCCAACTCAAAAGTGAAAATTAAATGCCGGCAAAGGCTCTGCCTGCACAAGTGCATACAGTTAACTCAGGTTTTACCCCCGCACCTGCTGATTATACACGATGGACTCAGGTCACATTACATCACATGTACAGAAGAAAATGAAGCATTTGGTCATTTACCCAAAATGGATGTATTGAAAATCCACTGCAGATGTAGAGTATGATCTGGGGAATACACAGGATTAATAAGAGAGGGTCCGTCTCTTCTTGGAGAGATAAGACTAGCACAGTTAAATATAAAAAGTGGAAAAGTAGGATCCAATTAAATTTAATAAAGTTTCCCTTTATGTGTGTATCTGATTGAAAACTATCGGAAACTTAATTTAACAAACACTTTTTCAGCACTGACTATGTACAGGAAGGCCCGTCCTGTTCATCTTTGAACCTCTGGCTTACAAAATGCCTGGCAGTTATCAGGTAAACAGTACATTATGAATGAATTGGAGAATGAAATTATTTTACTGTATGGAAAAAGCTTACAAGGGAGTAAAGTGGTAAGACAAATATATAAAGAACTATAATATTAGAAAGTGATCACAACATACAGCATTATGAAAGTTTAGAAGTGGAGAAGATACTAAGTCTAAAATTAGGGTTACAGTTTTGGGGACAGATAATATAATGTGAGTGAATTGTAGGGGAGTGGTAGAAGGTGAGGCTGTCAATGCAAGTTGTGGCATATAGTGGGGCCCTTCTTAGTCAACAGGGAGTCATGATGGGATTTTAAGAGACAAAACAACCTAACTGAGCTATCTGATATTAAGAATAAGCTGGAGAGCTATGTCAAGAGGATTGGAGTGGGAAGAAAACAGAGGTAGGAGGATCAGTTAAGGAGGGGCTAGTACAATTGTATAGATAATAAGAAATGAGAGGTTGAATTAGGGTGGACAGTAGCATGGGGAAAAGAAGTAATTTTTCAAATATATAATAAAAGTAAGCCCTTTAGACATTGTCTGCTGAATGTCTATGGAGTATTGTGTAAGGGAGATGGGGGAGAAATCCAAATTTCAGGCTGAGAAGACAGCGATTCCTTTAAAAGTAGTATGTGGAATTGGGAAGTAGAGAAGGAGGTGAGGTCTTCATATTTTCTGTTAAAGATTAGAAGTTTAGGGCTTCCCTGGTGGCGCAGTGGTTGAGAGTCCGCCTGCCGCAGGGGACACGGGTTCGTGCCCCGGTCCGGGAAGATCCCACATGCCGCGGAGCGGCTGGGCCCGTGAGCCGTGGCCGCTGAGCCTGCGCGTCCGGAGCCTGTGCTCCGCAACGGGAGAGGCCACAGCAGTGGGAGGCCCGCGTACTGCAAGATTAGAAGTTTATAGTAATTTAGTGAAAGGGAATTTTCACTCTGAGCTGGAAAAGCCAGAGATGGTAAGAATTTGAGACATGAGCTTAACCTGATAAAAAAAAAAAAAATGTTCAGAACAGTGAAGGACAGGCAAGTTAATATATAACTATACCTATTATTAACGGCAATTATTTAATCTGAGACTACTTGAGTTTACTGAAGCAATTAATTTAGATGTTACATCTATACAATGCCAAACACTGTAATATTTTGTAAAAACCCAATAAATTACAAGGGTTTTATTTGTTTTGTCTTATTTTTAATCCAGGAGTTTGATATCATGTAATAATAGCTTTAGCATTTGGCTTTCATATTAAAGTTTTACATATTAAGGTTTCAATCTCTTAGAAGATCCATCCGAGCAAGAGGGAATATATTTTTTTAATTTTATTTTATTTATTTTTTTATACAGCAGGTTCTTATTAGTTATCCATTTTATACATATTAGTGTATATATGTCAATCCAATCTCCCAATTCATCACACCACCAACCTCCCCGGCCCCTTTCCCCCCTTGGTGTCCCTACTTTTGTTCTCTACATCTGTGTCTCAGTTTCTGCCCTGCAAACCGGTTCATCTGTACCATTTTTCTAGGTTACACGTATATGCGTTAATATACGATATTTGTTTTTCTCTTTCTGACTTACTTCATTCTGTATATCTCTACATTCATCCACGTCTCTACAAATGACCCAATTTCGTTCCTTTTTATGGCTGAGTAATATTCCATTGTATATATGTACCACAACTTCTTTATCCATTCGTCTGTCGATGGGCATTTAGGTTGCTTCCGTGTCCTGACTATTGTAAATAGTGCTGCAGTGAACGTTGGGGTGCATGTGTCTTTTTGAATTATGGTTTTCTCTGGGTATATGCCCAGTAGTGGGATTGCTGGATCATACGGTAATTCTATTTTTAGTTTTTTAAGGAACCTCCATACCGTTCTCCATAGTAGCTGTATCAATTTACATTCCCACCAACAGTGCAAGAGAGTTCCCTTTTCTCCACACCCTCTCCAGCATTTGTTTGTAGATTTTCTGATGATGCCCATTCTAACTGGTGTGAGGTGATATCTCATTGTAGTTTTGACTTGCATTTCTCTAATAATTAGTGATGTTGAGCAGCTTTTCATGTTCTTCTTGGCCATCTGTATGTCTTCTTTGGAGAAATGTCTATTTAGGTCTTCTGCCCATCTTTGGATTGGGTTGTTTGTTTTTTTAATACTGAGCTGCATGAGCTATTTATATATTTTGGAGATTAATCCTTTGTCCGTGGACTTGTTTGCAAATATCTTCTCCCATTCTGACAGTTGTCTTTTCATCTTGTTTGTAGTTTCCTTTGCTGTGCAAAAGGTTTTAAGTTTCATTAGGTCCCATTTGTTTATTTTTGTTTTTATTTCCATTACTCTAGGAGATGGATCAAAAAAGATCTTGCTGTGACTTATGTCAAAGAGTGTTCTTCCTATGTTTTCCTCTAAGAGTTTTATAGTGTCTCGTCTTACATTTAGGTCTCTAATCCATTTTGAGTTGATTTTTGTGTATGGTGTTAGGGAGTGTTCT